CGGAGACACACACACGGAGAGACACACACGGAGAGACACACACGGAGAGACACACACGGAGAGACACACACGGAGAGACACACACGGAGACACACACACGGAGAGACACAGACACACACACGGAGAGACACAGACACACACATACACGGAGAGACACACACACATACACGGAGAGACACACACACACATACTCAGAGACACACACACATACTCAGAGACACACACACACGGAGAGACACACACACACACACGGAGAGACACACACACACGGAGAGACACACACACACGGAGAGACACACACACGGAGAGACGCACACACACACGCAGAGACACAGACACACACACACAGAGACCCACACTAAAACTAAACTCTATTCATGTCACCAGCTGTGTAAGGACCCCCACTGAGCTAGTGCTGCTGTGTAGCTGCTCCATCAGACGAGCGGTACAGCCTGGACATCACAACACAGCATAGCAGCTCAGCCACGTGGGCTGATATCACATCACGTGGACATTCATAGCAACAGCATCATTCTCTCAACACAGAGACGCACAGAGACGCACAGAGACACACAGAGACACACAGAGACACACAGAGACACACAGAGACACACAGAGACACACAGAGACACACAGAGACACACAGAGACACACAGAGACACACAGAGACACACAGAGACACACAGAGACACACAGAGACACACAGAGACACACAGAGACACACAGAGACACACAGAGACACACAGAGACCCATAGAGACACACACACGCAGAGACACACACACAGAGACCCACACTAAAACTAAACTCTGTTTATGTCACCAGCTGTGTAAGGAACCCCACTGAGCTAGTGCTGCTGTGTAGCTGCTCCATCAGACGAGTGGTACAGCCTGGACATCACAACACAGCATAGCAGCTCAGCCACGTGGGCTGACGTCATCGTCATCATCATCAAGTGTAAATGTCTAGCAACAGCTAAGTGCCTCCTGAAGGCATGGCCGATGTTGATTCAGAGACGTGGAGGGGTGGAACGCGGAGACAGAATCCACGCAGCGACCAACACGGGGAGAGGGACTCAGACTCCAACATAGACAACAGGGTCCAGGGATCGAACCCACGACCTCCTGTACACCAGGCGAGGTAGTCAACATCTCCCCTGTGAGATAGAGAGATGGAGACACAACAGGGTCCAGGGATCGAACCCACGACCTCCTGTAGACCAGGCGAGGTAGTCAACATCTCCCTTGAGAGAGAGAGACGCAGTCACAACAGGGTCCAGGGATCGAACCCACGACCTCCTGTAGACCAGGCGAGGTAGTCAACATCTCCCTTGAGAGATAGAGAGATGCAGATACAACAGGGTCCAGGGATCGAACCCACGACCTCCTGTAGACCAGGCGAGGTAGTCAACATCTCCCTTGAGAGAGAGAGACGCAGTCACAACAGGGTCCAGGGATCGAACCCACGACCTCCTGTAGACCAGGCGAGGTAGTCAACATCTCCCTTGAGAGATAGAGAGATGCAGATACAACAGGGTCCAGGGATCGAACCCACGACCTCCTGTAGACCAGGCGAGGTAGTCAACATCTCCCTTGTGAGAGAGACGCAGACACAACAGGGTCCAGGGATCGAACCCACGACCTCCTGTAGACCAGCCGAGGTAGTCAACATCTCCCTTGTGAGAGAGATGCAGACACAACAGGGTCCAGGGATCGAACCCACGACCTCCTGTAGACCAGGCGAGGTAGTCAACATCTCCCTTGTGAGAGATGCAGACACAACAGGGTCCAGGGATCGAACCCACGACCTCCTGTACACCAGGCGAGGTAATCAACATCTCCCTTGTGACCAGAGAGAGACGCAGACACAACAGGGTCCAGGGATCGAACCCACGACCTCCTGTATACCAGGCGAGGTAGTCAACATCTCCCTTGTGAGAGACGCAGACACAACAGGGTCCAGGGATCGAACCCACGACCTCCTGTAGACCAGGCGAGGTAGTCAACATCTCCCTTGTGACAGAGAGAGACGCAGACACAACAGGGTCCAGGGATCGAACCCATTGCATCCGCTCTACTGCGTATTCAGGGCCTCGGCCAGTTTCATTCTATCTCCCGGAGTGGCAATTTCCTTCCCCATTTTAGATCCGCCTTCCTCCGAGCCCACAGGGAGACAAAGATCACCGGTGTAGCCTCTGACGGGATGTTGGGGCAAGGGCTGTCAGTAGCGAGCAGCACCACCCACTCGCTCATTCACCCACCCACCCACTCGCTCATTCACCCACCCACTCGCTCATTCACTCACCCACCCACTCGCTCATTCACCCACCCACTCGCTCATTCACTCACCCACCCACTCGCTCATTCACCCACCCGCCCGCTCGCTCATTCACCCGCTCGCTCGCTCATTCACCCACCCACTGATTCACCCACCCGCTCGATAATTCACCCACCCACTCTCTCGCTCATTCATCCACCCACCCACTCATTCACCCACCCACTCATTCACCCACCCACTCATTCACCTACCCGCCCACTCGCTCATTCACCCACCCACTCACTCATTCACCCACTCACTCACCCACCCACTAACTCACCCACCAACTCACCCACCCACCCACTCATTCACCCACTCACTCACCCACCCACTAACTCACCCACTCACCCACCCACTAACTCACCCACCAACTCACCTACCCACTCACTCACCCACCAACTCACCCAGCCACCCACCCACTCACCCACCCATTCAAGACAAAGATCACCCCCCTCCCCCCCCCCCCCCCCCCCCCCCCCCCCCCCCCGTGTCGCCTCCTCTGACGTGCTGCTGTTGGCCCGTTGGCCTCTGGGCTGTTGGGTTGTTGGGCCTGTTGGCCCGTTGGCCTGCTGGCCTGTTGGCCCGTTGGCCTGCTGGGCTGTTGGCCTGCTGGCCTGTTGGCCTGCTGGCCTGTTGGCCCGTTGGCCTGCTGGCCTGTTGGCCCGTTGGCCTGCTGGGCTGTTGGCCTGCTGGCCTGTTGGCCTGCTGGCCTGTTGGCCCGTTGGCCTGCTGGGCTGTTGGCCTGCTGGCCTGCTGGCCTGTTGGCCCGTTGGCCTGCTGGGTTGTTGGGCCTGTTGGGTTGTTGGCCTGCTGGCCTGTTGGCCTGCTGGCCTGTTGGCCTGCTGGCCTGTTGGCCTGCTGGCCTGTTGGCCCGTTGGCCTGCTGGGCTGTTGGCCTGCTGGGCTGTTGGGCCTCAGTGCTGTGCCGTAGCGAGCGGCACCCCGAGCAGGCCGGCGCTGTGACGCACACGAACGGGGCCACGTGACCAGCACCACGCCCGGCCGCCTTTGTCTCCCCCCCAATGTTTACCCTGCACCGCCGCTACACCAGGCACTCATTTGAGGCCGAGTGGATCTAGGGGGAGAGATCCAACTCGTGTTTAAGAGCGGTGGGGGGTGGTGGTGGTGGTGGTTGTTGGGGCTCGGAAATCCGCAGAACTTCCACGCAGAGCCAACCGTTTCCGGACGTTGACTCAACGTTGGCTTTCGAACGTCCGGTTCATTAATGTTCACTCGGCCAGCCACTCACTTGGTCACTCACTCACTCGGCCACTCACTCACTAAGCCACTCACTCAGCCAGCCACTCACTCACTCAGCCACTCACCCACTAAGCCACTCACTCACTCAGCCACTCACTCACTCAGCCACTCACTCACTCAGCCACTCACTCACTCGGCCACTCACTCAGCCAGCCACTCACTCAGGCACTCACTCACTCAGCCACTCACTCGCTCAGCCACTCACTCGCTCACTCAGCCAGCCACTCAGCCAGCCACTCAGCCAGCCACTCAGCCAGCCACTCAGCCAGCCACTCAGCCAGCCACTCACTCAGCCACTCACTCAGCCAGCCACTCACTCAGCCAGCCACTCACTCACTCAGCCACTCACTCAGCCAGCCACTCACTCAGCCACTCACTCACTCATCCACTAACTCACTCATCCACTCACTCACTCGGCCACTCACTCCCCCCCCCCTCTCCCCCCCCCCTCTCCCTCCTCGTCCGTGCTGGTGGTGCAGGCAGCTGAGTTGGTGCTGACGTCTTCGCTCCATCCACCACTCCTCCACCCTCCCGTGTTGTAGTCACCACCACCACCTCTACCACAGTCACCACCTCTACCACCACCACCTCTACCACCACCACCACCACCTCTACCACCTCTACCACCACCACCACCTCTACCACAGTCACCACCTCTACCACCACCACCACCACCTCTACCACCTCTACCACCACCACCACCTCTACCACAGTCACCACCTCTACCACCACCACCACCACCTCTACCACCTCTACCACCACCACCACCTCTACCACAGTCACCACCTCTACCACCACAGTCACCACCACCTCTACCACAGTCACCACCTCTCTACCACAGTCACCACCACCACCTCTACCACAGTCACCACCTCTCTACCACAGTCACCACCACCACCTCTACCACAGTCACCACCTCTACCACCACCACCACCACCTCTACCACCACCACTACCACAGTCACCACCACCTCTACCACCACCACCACCTCTACCACAGTCACCACCACCTCTACCACCACAGTCACCACCACCTCTACCACCTCTACCACCACAGTCACCACCACCTCTACCACCTCTACCACCACAGTCACCACCACCTCTCTACCACAGTCACCACCACCTCTACCACCACAGTCACCACCACCTCTACCACCACAGTCACCACCACCTCTACCACCACAGTCACCACCACCTCTACCACCTCTACCACCACAGTCACCACCACCTCTACCACCACAGTCACCACCACCTCTACCACCTCTACCACCACAGTCACCACCACCTCTACCACCACCACCTCTACCACCACCACCACTACCACCACAGTCACCATCACCTCTACCACCACCACCACCTCTACCCCTATCACCACCACCACCTCTACCACCACCTCTACCACAGTCACCACCACCTCTACCACCACCACCTCTCTACCACAGTCACCACCACCACAGTCACCGCCACCTCTACCACCGCCACCACCACCACCGCCGCCACCGCCATGTCCGACGGCCCGCCCCGCGGCCTGCAGCTGGGCCTGGTGAGCAGCGCTGGTGGCTACCTCACGGCCGAGACGTTCGGCTTCAAGGTCACCGCCTCTGGCTCGTCCCTCAAGAAGAAGCAGACTTGGACGCTCGAGACGCTGCCTGGCACCACCACCACCACCACCACCGGCACCGGCACCGGTGGCACCGGCACCGGCACCGGTGAATCGCCGGACGGCGGCGCCGTGAGCCTCCGCTCGCACCTGGGCCGCCTGCTGGGGGCGGATCGCGACGGGGCCGTGAGCGGCCAGGCCGAGGCCCCAGGCACGGCCACGGCCTGGGGCCTGCAGGCCAGGCCGGATGGACGCTGGGCCCTGCGGCACGCCCAGCACGGCCGCTACCTGGGAGGGTCAGCCGATCGTGTGAGGTGGGTGGGGGGAGAGGGGGGGGTGGGGAGGGGGGGGGGGGGGGGGGGGGGGTGGGGGGGCGGGGTCAGGGGGGGGGTGGGGGGGGGCGGGGGGGTGGGGGGGGGGAGGGGGGGGGAGGGGGGGGGTGGTGGTGGTGAGTGGTGGTGGGTGAAGTGTGGGTAGGGTGGTGGTGTGGTGGTGGTGGGTGGTGAGTGGTGGGGGGTGGGGGGGTGGTGAGTGGTGTGGTGGGGGGGTGGTGTGTGGTGGTGTTGGTGAGTGGTGATGGTGGTGGGTGGTGGTGTTGGTGAGTGGTGGTGGTGGTGGTGGGTGGTGAGTGAGGTGGTGGTGGTGAGTGGTGTTGGTGAGTGGTGGTGGGTGAAGTGTGGGTAGGGTGGTGGTGGTGAGTGGTGTTGGTGGTGAGTGGTGTTGGTGGTGAGTGGTGTTGGTGGTGAGTGGTGGTGGTGGTGAGTGGTGGTGGTGAGTGGTGGTGGTGGTGGTGGTGAGTGGTGGTGAGGAGTGGTGTTAGTGAGTGGTGGTGGTGGTGGTGGGTGGTGGTGGTGGTGAGTGAGGTGGGGGTGGGTGGTAGTGGGTGGCTGGTGTGGGGTGAGTGAGGTGTGGATGGTGGTGAGTGGTGTTGGGTGAAGTGTGGGTAGGGTGGTGAGTGGTGGTGTTGGTGAGTGGTGGTGGTGGTGGTGGTGAGTGGTGGTGGGTGAAGTGTGGGTAGGGTGGTGGTGGTGGTGAGTGGTGGTGGTGGGTGGTGAGTGAGGTGGTGGTGGTGGTGGTGGTGTTGGTGAGTGGTGGTGGTGGTGAGTGGTGGTGGGTGAAGTGTGGGTAGGGTGGTGGTGGTGTGAGTGGTGGTGAGTGGTGTTGGTGAGTGAGGTGGTGGTGAGTGGTGGTGGTGGGTGGTGGTGGTGGGTGATGGTGGTGAGTGGTGTGGGTGGTGAGTGGTGTTGGTGAGTGGTGTTGGTGAGTGGTGGTGGTGTTGGTGAGTGGTAGTGTTGGTGAGTGGTAGTGTTGGTGAGTGGTGGGTGGTTAGTGGTGTTGGTGAGTGGTGTTGGTGAGTGGTGTTGGTGAGTGGTGTTGGTGAGTGGTGTTGGTGAGTGGTGTTGGTGAGTGGTGTTGGTGAGTAACTCTCTCTCTCTCTCCCTGCAGGTGTTTTGCCCAGACTGTCGGCAACACGGAGCTGTGGAGTGTCCACCTCGCCACTCACCCCCAACTCAACCTCTACAACCCGGGGAGGAAGCGGTGAGCCACTCACCCGCTCGCTCACCCGCTCGCTCACCCACTCACCCGCTCGCTAGCCTACCCAGCCACTCACTCACTCGCTCGCCCACCCGTTCACCCGCTCGCTCACCCGCTCGCTCACCCGCTCGCTCACCCGCTCGCTAGCCACTCCACCCAGCCACTCACCCACTCGCTCGCCTGTTCACCAACCCCCCCCACTCCCCCCAACTCGCTCACTCACCCAGCCACTCACTCCCCCAGCCACTCACTCACCCACCCAGCCACTCACTCACCCACCCAGCCACTCACTCACCCATCCACCCAGCCACTCACTCACCCACCCAGCCACTCACTCACCCATCCACCCAGCCACTCACTCACTCACTCACCCACCCACTCACTCACCCACCCACCCAGCCACTCGCTCACCCAGCCAGCCAGCCACTCACTCACCCACCCAGCCACTCACCCACCCAGCCACTCACTCACTCACTCACCCACTCACCCAGCCACTCACCCACCCACTCACCCACCCACCCAGCCACTCACCCACAAGGCAAGCGCCAGGGTTGTGAGTGATGCTTGCAAGGTCAGGCGGTGTGTCCGCCTGCGAGCCCTCTCACTCTCTCTCTCACTCCGACACTCTGCAGGGCGGGTGGGTGAGTGAGTGAGTGGGTTGGTGGCTGGGTGGGTGAGCGGCTGGGTTGGTGAGTGGGTGAGTGGGTGAGTGAGTGGGTGAGTGGCTGGGTTGGTGAGTGGATGGGTGGCTGGGTTGGTGAGTGGGTGAGTGGCTGGGTTGGTGAGTGGGTGAGTGGCTGGGTTGGTGAGTGGGTGAGCGGCTGGGTTGGTGAGTGGCTGGGTTGGTGAGTGGGTGGGTGGCTGGGTTGGTGAGTGGGTGGGTGGCTGGGTTGGTGAGTGCTATCGGGAAATAGTTGGGCGAGTGTTTTGGTGAGTGAGTGTATCAGTGAGTGAGTCTGCCCCTGGTGAGTGAGTGTGCTATCAGTGAGTGAGTCTGCTCCTGGTGAGTGAGTGTGCTATCAGTGAGTGAGTGAGTGTGCTATCAGTGAGTGAGTGAGTGTGCTATCAGTGAGTGAGTGAGTGTATCATCATTGAGTGTGCTATCAGTGAGTGAGTGTATCAGTGAGTGAGTCTGCCCCTGGTGAGTGTGTGAGTGAGTGTATCAGTGAGTGAGTGTATCAATGAGTGAGTGCTATCAGTGAGTGAGTGTATCAGTGGGTGAGTCTGCTGCTGGTTTCCTGCTTGTGGTGAGGTCGTGACTCCTGTGACCCCGCATTGCTCCCGTGTGCTGGTGTGTGTGTGTGTGTCACTGTGTGTGTGTGTCACTGTGTGTGTGTGTGTCACTGTGTGTGTGTGTGTCACTGTGTGTGTGTGTGTGTGTCACTGTGTGTGTGTGTGTGTCACTGTGTGTGTGTGTGTGTCACTGTGTGTGTGTGTGTGTCACTGTGTGTGTACGTGTGTGCTGGTGTGTGTGTGTGTCACCGTGTGTGTGTGTACGTGTGTGCTGGTGTGTGTGTGTGTCACCGTGTGTGTGTGTACGTGTGTGCTGGTGTGTGTGTCACCGTGTGTGTGTGTACGTGTACGCTGGTGCGTGTGTACGTGTACGCTGGTGCGTGTGTACGTGTACGCTGGTGCGTGTGTACGTGTACGCTGGTGTGTGTGTACGTGTGTGTACGTGTACGCTGGTGTGTGCGTGTGTGTACGCTGGTGTGTGTGTGTGTACGTGTACGCTGGTGTGTGTGTGTGTACGTGTACGCTGGTGTGTGTGTGCTCGCTAACAGCACTGCATTCTGTTAAGGCTACACGGGGGACCTTTGTCTGTGTGGGTGTGGAACGGCACTTGCCCTTATAGCCCTGCTAGAGGCTACACGGGGGACCTTTGTCTGTGTCTCTGTGTGTGTGTAGTACATAGACACTGCTACTCGTTACTAACAGCACTTGCACCTACAGCCCTGCTAGAGGCTACCTGGGGTAGCTTTGTCTGTGTGTGTGGTGTGTGTAGTACATAGACACTGCTGCTGCTACTCGCTACTAACAGCACTTGCCCCTACTGCCCTGCTAGAGGCTACCTGGGGGAGCTTTGTCTGTGTGTGGTGTGTGTAGTACATAGACACTGCTGCTGCTACTCGCTACTAACAACACTTGCACCTACAGCCCTGCTAAAGGCTACCTGGAGGACCTTTGTCTGTGTGTGGTGTGTGTAGTACATAGACACTGCTGCTGCTACTCGCTACTAACAGCACTTGCCCCTACAGCCCTGCTAGAGGCTACCTGGGGTAGCTTTGTCTGTACGTGGTGTGTGTAGTACATAGACACTGCTGCTGCTACTCACTACTAACTGCACATGCCCCTACAGCCCTGCTAGAGGCTACCTGGGCTAGCTTTGTCTTTGTGTGCCTGCGTTTCCGCGTTCAATTCTGCTGAGGTCGCTCCGTTTCCACAGGAAATGAGGCTCCCTCACCCACACACTCACCCCACACACTCACCCACACACTCACCCCACACTCACCCCACACACTCACCCCACACACTCACCCCACACACTCAACCCACACACTCACCCCCTCACCCACACACTCACCCCACACACTCACCCCACACACTCACCCCACACACTCACCCCACACACTCACCCCACACACTCACCCCACACACTCACCCCACACACTCACCCCACACACTCACCCCACACACTCACCCCACACACTCTCACTCACACACTCACCCCACTCGCTCACACACACACTCACCCACACTCTCACTCACACACACCCACACTCTCACTCACACACACCCACACTCTCACTCACACACTCACCCCACTCACTCACACTCTCACCCACACACTCACCTCACACACTCACCCACACTCTCACTCACACACTCACCCCACTCACTCACATACTCACACACTCACTCACGCACTCACCTCACACACACTCACCCCACTCACTCACACACTCACCCCACACACTCACCCCACACACTCACCCCACACACTCACCCCACACACTCACCCCACACACTCACCCCACACACTCACCCACACACTCACCCACACTCTCACTCACACTCTCACACTCACCTCACACACACTCACCCCACTCACTCACACTCTCACCCACACACTCACCCCACACTCTCACCCACACACTCACCCGCTCGCTCGCTCACCACTCACTCACTTACCCACTCACTCACCTCACCTCACTCACTCAACCACTCACCCATTCGCTCACTCACCCACAGACAGACGGACACACAGACAGACAGAGAGACAGACACACAGAGACAGACGGACAGACAGAGACAGACACACAGAGACAGACACAGACAGACGGACACACAGAGACAGACACAGACGGACGGACACACAGACAGACACAGACAGGCGGAGACACAGACAGACGGACACAGACACACAGACAGAGACAGACGGTCAGACACCCTCTCTGTCGCTGTGTGTGAGTGAACGCCCTCTTGGCGAGCTGGCGAGTGAGATAGTGGGTGGGTGAATGAGATGGTGGGTGGGTGAGTGAGATGGTGGGTGAATGAGATGGTGGGTGGGTGAGATGGTGGGTGGCTGGGTGGGTGAGTGAGATGGTGGGTGGGTGAGTGAGATGGTGGGTGGGTGAGTGAGATGGTGGGTGGGTGAGTGAGATGGTGGGTGGGTGAGTGAGATGGTGGGTGGGTGAGTGAGATGGTGGGTGGGTGAGTGAGATGGTGGGTGGGTGAGTGAGATGGTGGGTGGGTGAGTGAGATGGTGGGTGGGTGAGTGAGATGGTGGGTGGGTGAGATGGGTGAGATGTTGTGCTGGTGGGTGGCTGGGTGGGTGAGATGGTGAGTGAGATGGTGAATGATTGAGTGCCTGAGTGAGATTGTGGGTGAGTGAGATGGTGGCTGAGTGAGATGGTGGGTGGGTGGCTGAGTGAGATGGTGGGTGGGTGGCTGAGTGAGATGGTGGGTGGGTGGCTGAGTGAGATGGTGGGTGGGTGGCTGAGTGAGATGGTGGGTGGGTGGCTGAGTGAGATGGTGGGTGGGTGGCTGAGTGAGATGGTGGGTGGGTGGCTGAGTGAGATGGTGGGTGGGTGGCTGAGTGAGATGGTGAGATGGTGAGTGGCTGGGTGGGATGGCGGGTGGGTGAGTGGCTGGGTGGGATGGTGGGTGAGTGAGTGGGATGGTGGGTGAGTGAGTGAGATGGTGAGTGAGTGAAATGGTGGGTGGGTGGCTAGGTGGGATGGTGAGTGAGATGGTGGGTGGGTGAGTGAAATGGTGAGTGAGATGGTGAGTGAGATGGTGAGTGGGTCAGTGAGTGGGTCAGTGAGTGGGATGGTGGGTGGCTGAGTGAGATGGTGAGTGAGATGGTGAGTGAGATGGTGAGTGAGATGGTGAGTGAGATGGTGAGTGAGATGGTGAGTGAGATGGTGAGTGAGATGGTGAGTGAGATGGTGAGTGAGAGATGGTGAGTGAGATGGTGAGTGAGATGGTGAGTGAGAGATGGTGAGTGGGTCAGTGAGTGAGATGGTGAGTGGCTGGGTGAGATGGTGAGTGGGTCAGTGAGTGAGATGGTGGGTGGCTGAGTGAGATGGTGAGTGAGATGGTGAGTGAGATGGTGAGTGAGATGGTGAGTGAGATGGTGAGTGAGATGGTGAGTGAGATGGTGAGTGAGATGGTGAGTGAGATGGTGAGTGGGTCGGTGAGTGGGTCGGTGAGTGAGAGATGGTGAGTAGCTGAGTGAGATGGTGAGTGGCTGGGTGAGATGGTGAGTGGCTGAGTGAGATGGTGAGTGGCTGAGTGAGATGGTGAGTGGCTGGGTGAGATGGTGGCTGAGTGAGATGGTGAGTGGCTGGGTGAGATGGTGGCTGAGTGAGATGGTGAGTGGCTGGGTGAGATGGTGGCTGAGTGAGATGGTGGGTGGGTGGCTGAGTGAGATGGTGAGTGGCTGGGTGAGATGGTGAGTGAGATGGTGAGTGAGATGGTGAGTGAGATGGTGAGTGAGATGG